GGGGAGTTATTTTCCAGGAGAGTCATTATTACAGATTGTAAGCTTGAAAGAGCAGGGGGCCCTCGATCCCCTCATGTTTTGCATTGTATTGGTATTGTTCTGTCACACATGTTCTGTCCCCCTTTGTAATGTACAGCGCTGAGTGAACTATTGGCGCTTTATAAATACTGTATAATAATAATTACAGTATATGGTACGATTGTTTTTATGACCCCTGAAACAGGTTGGCTGATTTTTTGTAAAAATAATAAAATTAATTTGGACTCTTTTATCCGTTGGTCTGGTTCTCATTGCATTAGTGCATGTTTTTATATTAATGAGTGTAAAGGCCAGTTAGCAGTGTTTTATCCAGTAAATAAGCGGCCACCATTTCATCACTGATAAACCTAAAATGATATGTAAGTGGTAAGTTATAATTTCTAAATAATGAGAAAGTAAACTGTGATCTGTGCTTCTTTTTATTTTTTTTTATTTCTTCTTCCTTTTCTTGTTCTTCTCCTTTGAGTTGTAGTTTCAGTTTTTTTCACTTGTGAAATAATAACATTTTACTACAAATTAAAACACTTATGTCTCATTTCAGGCTATTATGTTTCTCTAATTTTCAAAAACACAACATGTTCTTCATACATCAATATTCCTAATTAAATGGGGCAGTTTATAATAAACTAACACAGCTGTTGATAGTTAGACTTGAGAAAGAAAAAAAAAAAACTTCTTATTTGAATAACATCTTAAGCTTGTGCAGCCATTACAAGTCCGGCTCAAAATAAATTTAAATTAAAGTCTAACATTACAGCATAATCTGTTGTAATTACAACAAAATGGCTCAGTGTACCACAAGCTAAAATCTGAAGTTCCCTCAATGTGAGACAGCAATGTGCCTTTTAAGCACAGTAACCACTATTAGTATGATCCAATTATCTTCCATGATGGAAAAATAACACAAGGCTTAATAAGGCAATTCATTGGCTGAAAGTAATCAATGTTGTATGGTGTTTTACATGATAAAATGTACTTCTACAAGGTCAGTTAAGCCTAAATACCATTAGATGACAGTCAACAATTTAAATGCAATGTTTTTTTCCCCATTTTCCTGCGATTAAGGCTCTTATATTATTAATAGCTGCACAACAAGGAGTATGTTTGTTACTGTTGACGCTATATAAATCCTGAAGAAAATAATAATAATAATAGCAATAATATTAATAATCCACTAATACTGCTACTACTACTACTATTATTATTATATTATTATTATTATACAATATTTATATAGCGCCAAAGGGTTTGCTCAGCGCTGTACAATAGCAGGGGGACAGAACATGAGACAAAACAGTACAATACAATACACAAGGAGTTTGAGGGCCCTGCTCTTATGAGCTTACAATCTAGGAGGGAGGGGATAGTGGTACAGGAGGAAGTGGCTGTGGGGGATGGAGTGGTAGGAGGAGTGGAGGAGATCGGTTGTTAGGTGAGGGTGGGGTAGGCTTCCCTGAAGAGATGGGTTTTCAGGGTGCGCCTGAAGGTGAGGAGGGTAGGTGATAGTCTGATGGATTGGGGTAGGGAGTTCCAGAGGATGGGGGAAGTCCTGGAGAAGTCCTGCAGTCGGGCGTGGGAGGAGGAGACCAGGGAGCTGGAGAGTAGGAGGTCCTGTGAGGAGCAAAGGGCACGGGTGGGGTGGTATTTGGGTATCAGGTCAGTTAGGTAGTTTGGGGCAGCATTGTGAATGGCTTTGTATGTCAGAGTTAGTAGTTTGAATTTAATGCGTTAAGCAATCGGGAGCCAGTGAAGGGATTGGCAGAGGGGGGTGGCAGATGTGGAGCGGTTGGTGAGGTGGATGAGTCTAGCCGCTGAGTTCAGGATAAACTGGAGTGGGGATAGCGTTTGCTTGGCTAGGCCAGTGAGAAGGGAGTTGCAGTAGTCCAGGCGTGAGATGATGAGGGAGTGTACGAGTTGTTTTGTAGTGTCTGGGGTGAGGAACGTACGTATCTTGGAGATGTTGCGGAACTGGAGCCTGCAAGACTTTGATAGTGATTGGACATGAGGTTGGAAGGAAAGGTTTGAGTGCAGGGTGACACCCAGGACTTTGGTGTGTGGGGTGGGATTGATGGTGATGTTGCTAGTCGTGGTGGAGAGGATGGGGGGGGCGCGGGCTGGGGGGAAAACCAGGAGCTCGGTTTTGGACAGGTTTAACTTCAGGAAATGGAGCGACATCCAGTCTGATATGTCGTTCAGGAGGTGGGAGATGCGGGCGGAGAGTGAGGTGAGGCGTGAGGTGAGGGGTGGAGAGGTAAATTTGTGTGTTGTCGGCATAGAGGTGATAGTTGAAGCCGTGGGAGTGTATCAGTTTGCCAAGGGAGGAGGTGTAGATGGAGAAGAGGAGGGGTCCAAGGACAGAGCCCTGGGGGACTCCAACAAAGAGGGGGAGAGAGGGAGAGGTGGCAGCGTTATAGGTGATGCTGAAGGAGCATTGGGATAGGTAGGAGGAGAACCAGGAGAGAGCAGAGTCCCTGATGCCAAAGGAGTGCAGTTTGGTAAGGAGGAGGGGGTGGTCGACTATGTGTCGAAGGCAACGGAGAGGTCGAGGAGCAGGAGGACTGAGTAGTGGCCATTGGCTTTGGCGGTTAGCAGGTCGTTAGTGATTTTAAGTAGGGCAGTTTCGGTGGAGTGTAGGGGACGGAAGCCAAACTGTAGTGGATCAAGGAGGTTGTTATCAGTGAGGTGGGCGCTTAGGTGATTGTAGGCTAAGCGCTCAAGGAGCTTGGAAGTGAATGGTAGCAGGGAGATGGGTCTAAAGTTGTTTAGGTCAGTGGGGTCAAGGGAGGGTTTTTTGAGTATGGGGGTGATGCGTGTGTGCTTTAGGGGGGAGGGGAATGTGCCAGTAGAGAGGGAGAGATTGAAGATGTTGGTGAGGGAGCGAATGATGGAGTAGTAGTGAGGGGATGGGGTCCAGGGGGCAAGTGGTGAGGCGGGCTTCAGTGAAGACCTTAGTGACCTCCTCAGTGGTAGCAGGGCTGAAGGAGCAGAGCGTTGGGGTGAGGTGATAGTGTGAGGGGGTGATGGAGGGAGAGGGGCTAGGTGGAGAGGTAGATGGCGAGTGTTGACAATGTCCTTACGGATTGCGTCAATCTTGTTTTGGAAATGATTGGCAATCTCGTGGGCGGTGAGTGAGGTACTGAGTGGAGGTGGGGGGGGGGGGGAGAGACAGGGATTTGAAAGTGGAGAAGGGAGGACAGGTGGAGAGGGTGTTGATGAGGGTTACGAAATAGGCTTGCTTGGTGGCGGTGGAGGGAGGTGGTGTAGGTGAGGAAGGTGGGATTTGTAGAGGGAGAACGCACGAGGGGATCTGGTTTTGCACCATAATCGCTCCAGCGCGCGCGACTGAGACATTTTGTATGGTCGTTCTGCCAGGGTTGGAGCGGCGTCGGAGTCTGAGTCTGATGTTACGCGTGTTAGGGGTGCCAGGGAGTCGAGGGCGGCAGACAGTGAGAGTCGTTGTACGCAGTAGTGGCCAGGTCAGGGCATGACAGTGGAAGGATTACTGTCGTACTACTACTACTACTACTAATAATAATAAAAATAATATACTACTACTTCTATTTCTACTACTACTAATAATAATAATATTAATAATAATACATTATCTACTACTTCAAATAATAATAATCTACATCTAATTCTATTTCTAAAAATTATAATATAGCATATATAATTGCTACACTAGCCATATTGTAATTGAATGTTATTAAAAAATACTTTTTCTTTTCAATCTGCACTTAATGTAATTTTCTGTAAAATGCAATACAATATGGCAACCTGGAGGCATTCTGTACATAGTTTGTATGTGGAGCAGGAGGACAGCTGATGAAGGACCTTCTTCCGTGTCCCCCATTAACTCGTTGGGCACCAAGAGTGGGTTACATGCGAGGACTACCCCTGGGGTGGGTTTTTCTGGGCTACACTTGGCACCTGTTACAGGATCACTCTACTTCACACATATGGGATACCTTTACATTTGTGCCATTTTCACCAATGTTCTAGGATAAGGCTGAGGCTGCCATGGGGGAATACTCGACGTTAAGGCGGGCCTCTACTTTTAGAGATGAACGTACACCATGTACATCTGCACCATAACTGTTCTCCAGTAAATCCCATATAAATGTACATCTTGCCGCTGTAGCTTGCAGTTAGGTGGGCCGTGCCGAACATTGACCACAGCCACCTGTCCAGCTTCTTCCATTACTGATCCTGGTAGCAGCGTGGAACCCCACCGTGCACATAGCACAGGCTACAAAGAGCACTTGACTTTAACTCTTGAACCTCCATATCTCTGTACAGGGTGGGAACCTCTGCAATGCAGTTCCGCTCTGGTTACTATGGGAGACAGAATGCAGCATCTCCCTTGTGGCTAGAGATAGTTTCACCTATAACAGGTATATATTTCCGACACGCTGCCTGCTGACTGTACCTCTGTTGTCCTTGGCAACCACTCATAGAACTTGCACTAGGATGACTACCTAGAGATGGAAAGGCCTTGGAAAAAAAAAATCCCCAAAGCTGTTTTTGTTTATGTCTCAAAAAAAAGAGTGTAGAATATGTTCTTTTACAATGATAAATAATAAATCTATGACATGGTATTCAAACTATAGAATATGAAGACCTTAATGAAAGACTTCTGAGACTTTATGTAAAGTCTTAAATTATTGCAAGTACTTTCACCTGAGGACAAGTAAATCCAGAAATACAATTCAAGTAACACTGTACTTTTCAATGCAGTTCTCAAACAAGAGAAATTTGCATTTCTGCCACTACAGAGAACTGCAGGGGAAAGACTCCAGTTTAGTTTGCTTGTGGTCTTCATCTTGTACATCCTAAGCTGGGTGGTTGTTGGGAAACAGTAGATAGTTTTTATCATCTCGGGCCTAATTGACTGGTAAGAGGATACATTTGTCTGAAAAATTAGTTTAACCCCTTCACGCCTAAGGGTAAAACAAATCTAAATGCCTAAGCACAATCTTGAAACTTTGACATGTGTTAGTAAAGCCGTGCATATTATCACAACTACTTTGTACATCCAGGTGGATTATGCCGCGTTTTTTCAGGACAAATTGGGCTTTCATTTGGTGGTAAATAGGTAATGGATATCTCCTGATTTTTTTTTTATTATCAAAGGAAAACTGGTCCAAAATAGTAAAAAAAAAAAATCTTTTTTTTAACTTAGCTGTTTGTCTCTTGTTACTATCATGACCTACCACCAAAGAACAGCCCAAAATAAATTTTCCAGCTCTTGACGATCGCAGCGATAACATATATGTGTGTTATTTGTTGTTTGTAACCGTAGTACAGCCCAGAAACATAGTGTGCATTTTGTTTTTTATTTTTTTTTCCCTAAAACACAATGATACTGACACTTAAGGGGTTTATTTACTAAAGCTGGAGAGTCCAAAATCAGACTCCCTTCTGCATAGAAACCAATCAGCTTCCAGGTTTCATTGCCAAAGCTTCATTGAACAAGCTGAGGTTAGAAGCTGATTGGTTTCTATGCAGAAGGGAGTCTGATTTTGGACTCTCCAGCTTTAGTAAATAAACCCCTAACTGACACTGATACCAATCTATGACAAAAAAAAAAAAAACCTGACCTTTGACCCCAACTTTTGACCTTGACCATTGACCCTGACCTTTACCCAAACACTAACCCTGGCACTGAACTAGATCAAACCTTGATCTAGGAATTTATTCTTTATTTTTTATTTTATTTTAAAATATGTATTTATTTATTTATTTATTTATTTTAACAAATAGTTTTTTTTCCCCTCTGTGCAAGGAGAGAGAGAGATACAATCTATCTCTCTCCTCCAGTCATAGAGAAAAACAAAACAAGGAGTGGGGGGTGTACAGTGACAGCAAATCAGAGGCTATCACAGCGATCATGTGACCTGGAATCGGGAGTCGCGGGTCCCGATCGTTAGAACGGCCCCCGAGGTTCTCAGTGACACCCCAGTCTTTGTGCTGGGAGCGCGCACAAAGACAGGTACACAAATATTGCAGCCCCACAGAAAAAAGCCCAGTTCTGTGAGGCCCCATATTTGTGTTACGTCGGCATGAAGGGGTTAACCTTTAAATAATTCCTGTTCATGTTCACCACCATCACAGCATAATGTTTGCCTATGGTCTGGTCAGTAAATCGTTTTTTTTTCTGTTCTTCCTCTCAGTAAAATGCTGAGACCAACATCTACAGTTTGGAAACATTTCCACAGCACAATTTCTGCTGAGAGCAAAGCTGCAATTTGCAAATATTGTGAGAAAAAATATGATTTTCCAAATGCTTAAAGGATAACAAAACACATGCTGGCATGACACAGGTGCCCCAAAGAAATTGAAAAGATTTTATGGAATTAAATGATGAGGACCGTAGTAAAAGTGCAAGTAGCTTTTCCCTCCAGAGTTCTGATTCCAAAAACACTTTTTCTGCTGCTCCTGGATTATAACAAATTTAAAAAGCAAGTTTATTTTATTTACTGAATAAGTTGTACTTTTATTTCAAGCAAAATACTTTAATATACAATGCATTTCAGGTGTCCAGTGTAACAAAATGACTTTCAATTTGTAAAATGACTCCTCAATTAATTTTTTTAAATTTTTTGGAAAATTTCAATTTTTTCGGGAAAAAAACAGGAAAACATTTGTTTTTTCAAATGGCTTCAAAACTTCCAAATTCATTTCTATTCATACCCCATATGCTAGTGACCCAAACATTAGACCATAGGTGCCAGTTACTTGCATTACACTCCTTTAAAGCACTTCAGACCAGGCAGAAGGCAAAGTTGTAATGCTTTACTGTAGTGATGGGCTGGATATTCGAGTCGAACATAAGTCTTTTTCTTTTAAATGTCAAACCTGCTGCAGCAGGTTCTATATATTGTACAGATATGCAACTTTACAGGTAGTTAGGGGACCCCCCCCCCAAGCATGATATTTAAAGGAATTTTTCTTTTTTTTTTTACTTTAACACCCCTGGCGGTATTCCTGAGTGTAGCTCGGGGTTAACTTTCAGTACCAGAAGCGGTAACCCCAAGCTACACTCGGGATTACCATGCAGCGTTGCTCAGGGATTCCCACTTGCACTTACCTTGTCCTGCGCTCCCGCGATGTCCCCCCTGCAGCGTCCCCGGCCATCTCCTCCAGCCGATGCCAGCATCCGTCTTCTGGGTTCCATTCCCTGCAAGCGTCGGGAGGTACGGATGATGGAACCGGCGGGATATTCAAAAATTTTAAAAGTGACATTCACTCAATACACTAAAATCACATAGATATTACATTCCTGTATCAAACCATTTCACATACATTTTGTCCCTACTGCTTTGTCCGGCGCCCTGCCTGAATTTTACCGTTCTTTCTGCCTGGAAACTGAGAAACGTCCATGGCGTCCAAAAAGCGTCCCTTTAGGTCAAAAGCGGTTTTAGACCAGCTAGAGAACAGCGATAGTAAATCAGAACCACTTGCAGAATTGAGTGATAATGATTCGTGGGGAAATTCGTCATCAGACACTGAAAACGATTTTGCGACTTTGCTCAGTGATGTGCGAACTTGGCGTCTATTTCACATTTCAGTGTTTTTGGTTTGAGTATATTATTGAATTTAATTTATTATTATATTATTATTTTTTATGATTATTTATTATATAATAATTTATAATTTTGTGTTTCAAATTTTATCATACCCGGGATGTTTACTAGACTCTTGTTCGGACAGATTTCAGTGAGTTATTCCTAAGAATTACAGGCCTACAATAAAAAAACAATATTTCCATGCAAAAAAAATACCGCTTTGAGCACAGAAATACTGACTTAATCAGACTGCTAGGGAGGTTAAGCAATGAAAAATGACTGCCCATTTAAAAACGGTACTTTTGTAAATAATTTTTTCACTGATCCATGTCCCTCAGGGCAAGTACCTGAGTCCCCATACCCCTTTTATGGCCAATAACTTGCATATAAGCCTTCAAAATGGGCACTTTTTAATTTACAAGTTTGAGTCCCATAGACTTACATTAAGTTCGACGTTCGCGGTCGAACATTCATTAGGTTCGAATGTTCGACCGCGAACTGAACACAGGGGTGTTCGGTCCATCACTCCTTTACGGAATGAAGTGCAAAATGTTACAAAGTCCAACAAGAGAACAGTCTTTTTCCTAAATCCTTATACCTACTCAGGCTATGTGCTGCCCCGGCATGAATAAAGGTCCATTTTTGACATTCCCCAGTGGCTGGTGTCTTTGGGGTGAACTCCAGGTTGGAAGGCTCTCACATCTTTCAGGCTCCTAAGTGGCTGTACCCCTCACAGAGCATGGCTGAAAGACCATCAGCAAGCATAGCTCTCAGACTCCTGCAGAGGAACCCCCAGCCCTGGTCCACTGTCCCTTTTCTATATCCACAGGAAATAGCTTTCCCGTTTCAGGGGGCCCCTGCTAAAAATGACTGTATTTACAACTCATGATACATTAGTGTGATAGTCAGTGGGAAGAATGCCCCGTACACTTGTGGTCATTGGAAGAAATACCCTCTTAGAGATAAGTAAAAAAATCAATGGTATCAGTGGAAACTTTTCTGAGAGGCAAACATTTCTCATTGCTCAAGGAACCACTAGCAACCCCTGGAGTAACCCTAGGGGTCCTGGTTGAGAAACCCTGCCTTAGACCATTCAGAGTATGAATCAGTCATCACTACTCTCTGAATATGGTCTTTCAGCCAGTTTTCTATCCATTTACAAACTTAATTTTCTAAGCCTGTAGACCAGCCTTTCAGAACCAGGGTGCCCAGGCACCTTGGGGTGCGTTGAGGTTTCTTCGGGGGTGCCTTGGCAAAATGTCCAAAAATTGCCCAAAACGTGTATACAAGCCAGTGGGTGGAACAAGCCTGCATTTTAGTTACAAAAGCCACAGGTTTTCATTGTGCACCATTACGACCTTCTAGCTGATGGCATCCTGACAACCAGTGACATCATCCGTTGATAAGGAGGATGTCAGCTGCCTGCACAGCATCCTAGTTTGACCCTCCTTGCCCCTCTCCATCAGTGATGGGGTCACATTAGCTCAGTGATGGAGAAAAACTGAGGGAGAAGAGAAACATTGGAATACTAGTCAGTACCAGCGTGCAGAAGTGTATTTGCGTTGGAAGAATAAATCCCCTCTAATGTTGGGTGTCCTACATGTTGCTGCGTTATATAAAAATATTAGAATAGTTTTTCACATTTTACAATGGGGTGCCTCAAGACTGTCCATAATTTTAAAAGGTGCCTCAGGACTGTCCGTAGTTTTAAAGAGTGCCTTGACTAAACAAAGGTTGAAAAACACTGCTGTAGACTATACCTTATTCATTGTGGGTGTGGGGAACTGTGTCAAACGCTTTTCTATTGTATATTACGTCCGCAGCCACTTTTTGCTTACCTCCTCATAGAGTGAAATCAGATTTGTTTGACAACTTCTGTCTTTCATGAATTCAGACTGACTATTGCCTAATTTTTTTTTTGTAACATCTATGTGGTCTTTATTAACCGCTTAACCACTTCGCCATAGCCGAAAGACAGCTACAGCTCAGTTGTCCAGTTCTGGGAGGGCGTCCATGGACGTCCTCCCAGAACTTGCTAACAGCGGCATGCACCCAGTGCTGTCGGTGATAAGGTAAAAGGCCAATCACAGCCTTTTACCATGTGATCAGTTGTGTCCATTGACGCAGCAAATCAAAATGTAAATACAGTTGCCGTTATCGGCTGCACTTTCCTCACTTTTCTTGTCACAGCGTGAGGAAAATACTGCCGATAACCGGCAAATGTGACAGGTGAGATCTGCACTGATAATCAGGGCACTGATTATCAGTGCCGCCTAGCAGTGCCCAGCAATTCCACCTGGCAGTGCCACCCATCAGTGTCCAGCAGCGCTGCCTGTCAGTGCCCAGCAGTGCCACCCATCAGTGCCTAGCAGTGCCGCATGTCAATGCCCAGCAGTGCTGCCAATCAGTGCCATCTGTCAGTGCCTTCAGTTAGTGCCCATCAGTCCCAACCAATCACTGCCGCCTATCAGTGCCCATAAGTGCCGCCTATCAGTGCCCATCATTGCTGCATATCAGTGCATCATCAGTGCCTCCTCATCAATGTCCACCAGTGCCACTTCATCAGTGCCACCTCATCAGTGCTATCAGTGCTGCCTCATCAGTGCCCATCAGTATTGCCTATCATTGCCCATCAGTGCTGCCTATCAGAGCAGCCTCATCAATGCACATCAGTGAAGGAGAAAAATTACCCGTTTGCAAAATTTTATAATAGAAACAAAGAAAACTTTTTTCCAATTTTTTTCTCTTTTTTCATTTACAGTGCAAAAAATAAAGACCCCAGTGGCAATCGAATACCACCGAAAGCAAGATCTATTTGTGTGGAAAAAATTATAAAACTTTCATATGGATACAGTGTTGCATGACCACGCAATTGTCATTCAAAGTGTGACAGCACCTAAAGCTGAAAATTGGACTGGGCAGGAAGGGGGTAAAAGTGCCCAGGAGGCAAGTGGTTAAACTCTCCAGTATCTTCCCAACTATAGAAGTTAAAATAACAGGTCTATAGTAACTTAGTAACTACAAGTGAATAATTAAAATTCGCCAAGAGATCTCTGATGTGCACATACCCCCCACTCCCCCACCTAACACTTCATGTCCACAGGTACAATCACTACTTCCAGAATTCAACACCACTACTATAGTTGAGGTTGCTAAATGTTTTTCTAATGCCCACCTAACCACCTGCCCACTGGACCCTGTTCCATCACAAATGCTATGATCACTTTCTGACTTTGTCCGACACTCTCTAACTCCCATCTTCAATCTCTCCCCCTCTTCTAGCATCCTCCCCAACTCTCTAAAACATGCACTAGTCATCCCCATACTTAAAAAGCCCACACTAGACCCCAACAATCTTAACAACCTACAACCCATCTCTTTAATCCCCTTTTCCTCTAAAGTCCTTGAACACCTGGTCTACAACTAACTGAGCAACCATCTCACTAAGAATGATTTTCTTGATGCCCTTTAGTCCAGATTTCACCCTCAACACTCCACGGAATCTACTCTCAAACTCACAAACAATCTACTAATGGCTAAAACTAGAGATGAGCGAATCGAACCAGGCGAACCGGAATTCGAGTCGAATTTCAGGAAATATTCGATTCGCGTCGAATCCGAAATTTTGCCTACTACTTCGGGTGCGCGAATCGAACATTTCCCGATCAGCCGGCAAAAGTGAGTCTGACAGAAGGAACACATGTTTAGCGGTTGAAACATTGTATCTATTAGTTTACATTTAGGATACAGATGTTTCAACCGCTGTACATGTGAAGAAGCTGTGAGAGAACTGTCAGAAATAGAGGAACTCTGCACATACACTTTTTGCCGGCTTGGAATTATTCTTATTTTCATCCTACTTCTTCTTCTTCATCCTCATCCTCAGAAGAAGAGGATGAGATGATTGAAGAAGAAGTAGGATGAAAAGAAGAATAATTCCAAGCCGGCAAAAAGTGTATCTGCAGCGCTCCTCTAAGTGTATTTGCAGAATGTCATTTATGGAAACAAATAGATACAATGTTTCAACCGCTGTATGGAAGGAATGTCCCAGAACTGTCATTAATAGTCTATTTCTGACAGTTCTATGACATTCCCTCCATACAGCGGTTGAAACCGCTGTATGGAGTGAATGTCCCAGAACTGTTTTTTCCATAAATGACATTCTGCAAATACACTTAGAGGAGCGCTGCAGATACACTTTTTGCCGGCTTGGAATTAATTTATTTTCATCCTACTTCTTCTTCTTCATCCTCATCCTCATAAGAAGAAAAAAGAAGAAGTAGGATGAAAATAAGAATAATTCCAAGCCGGCAAAAAGTGTATCTGCAGCGCTCCTCTAAGTGTATCTGCAGAATGTCATTTATGGAAAAAAATAGATACAATGTTTCAACCGCTGTATGGAGTGAATGTCCCAGAACTGTCAGAAATAGACTATTTATGACAGTTCTGGGACATTCACTCCATACAGCGGTTTCAACCGCTGTATGGAGGGAATGTCATAGAACTGTCAGAAATAGACTATTAATGACAGTTCTGGGACTGTCCTTCCATACACGGTTGAAACATTGTATCTATTTGTTTCCATAAATGGATCCATTTATGGAAACAAATAGATACAATGTTTCAACCGCTGTATGGAAGGAATGTCCCAGAACTGTCAGAAATTAAATAGTCTATTTTCTGACAGTTCTATGACATTCCCTCCATACAGCGGTTTCAACATTGTATGGAGTGAATGTCCCAGAACTGTCAGAAATAGACTAAACTTCACATGAACAGTTCTGGGACTCATCCTTCTCCTTCTTCTCATCCTTCTTGTTATCATCCTTCTCCTTCTTCTCATCCTTCTCCTTCTCCATTCTTCTCATCCTTCTCCTTCTTCTTCTTCTCATCCTTCTCCTTCTCCTTCCTTCTCATCTTCATCCTTCTCATCCTTCTCCTTCTTCTCATCCTTTTCCCTCTCCTTCTCTCATCCTTCCTTCTCCTTCTTCTCATCTTCTCCTTCTTTCTTCTCATCCTTCTCCTTCTCATCTTCTCATCCTTCTCCAACTTCTTCATCCTCACCTTCTTCTCATCTTCTCCTTCTCCTTCTTCTCATCCTTCTCCTTCTCTTCTTCTCATCCTTCTCCTTCTCTTCTTCTTCATCCTTCTCCTTCTCTCATCCTTCTTCTCATCATCTCCTTCTTCTCATCTTCTTCTCTCATCCTTCTCCTTCTTCTCATCCTTCTCCTTCTTCTCATCCTTCTCCTTCTCCTTCTTCTCATTCTTCTCCTTCTCTTCTCCTTCTTCTCATCCTTCTCCTTCTTCTCATCATCCTTCTCCTTCTCCTTCTTCTCATCCTTCTCCTTCTTCTCATCCTTCTCCTCTCCTTCTTCTCATCCTTCTCCTTCCCTTCTCTCATCCTTCTCCTTCTCATCCTTCTCCTTCTCCTTCTTCTCATCCTTCTCCTTCTCCTGCTTCTCATCCTTCTCCTTCTTCTCATCCTTCTCCTTCTCTTCTTCTCATCCTTCTCCTTCTTCTCATCCTTCTCCTTCTTCTCATCTTCTTCTCCTTCTCCTTCTTCTCATCCTTCTCCTTCTTCTCATCCTTCTCCTTCTTCTCATCCTTCTCCTTCTCCTTCTTTTCATCCTTCTCCTTCTTCTCATCCTTCTCTCATCCTTCTCCTTCTTCTCATCCTTCTTCTTCTCATCCTTCTCCTTCTCTCATCCTTCTCCTTCTTCTCATCCTTCTCTTCTCTCCTTCCTTCTCCTTCTTCTCATCCTTCTCCTTCTCCTTCTTCTCATCCTTCTCCTTCTTCTCATCCTTCTTCTTCTCCTTCTCCTTCTTCTCATCCTTCTCCTTCTTCTCATCCTTCTCCATCTTCTCATCCTTCTCCTTCTTCTCATCCTTCTCCTTCTCCATTCTTCTCATCCTTCTCCTTCTCCTTCTTCTCATCCTTCTCCTTCTTCTCATCCTTCTCCTTCTTCTCATCCTTCTCCTTCTCTCATCCTTCTCCTTCTTCTCATCCTTCTCCTTCTTCTATCTTCTCCTCCTTCTCTCATCCTTCTCCTTCTTCTCCTTCTCATCATCTTCTCCTTCTTCTCATCCTTCTTCTCCTCTTCTCATCCTTCTCCTTCTTCTCATCTTCTTCTCCTTCTTCTTCCATTCTCTCCTCTCCATCCTTCTCCTTCTCCTTCTTCTTCTCATCCTTCTCCTTCTCCTTCTTCTCATCCTTCTCCTTCTCCTTCTTCTCATCCTTCTCCTTCTCCTTCTTCTCATCCTTCTCCTTCTCCTCATCTTCTCACTCATCCTTCTCCTTCTCTCCTTCTTCTCATCCTTCTCCTTCTCCTTCTTCTCATCCTTCTCTCTTCTTCTCATCCTTCTCCTTCTTCTTCCTTCTTCTCATCCTTCTCCTTCTTCTCATCCTTCTCCTTCTTCTCATCCTTCTCCTTCTCCTTCTTCTCATCCTTCTCCTTCTTCTCATCCTTCTCCTTCTTCTCATCCTTCTCCTTCTCCTTCTTCTCATCCTTCTCCTTCTTCTCATCCTTCTCCTTCTTCTCATCCTTCTCCTTCTCCTTCTTCTCATCCTTCTCCTTCTTCTCATCCTTCTTCTCATCCTTCTCCTTCTTCTCATCCTTCTCCTTCTTCTCATCCTTCTCCTTCTCCTTCTTCTCATCCTTCTCCTTCTTCTCATCCTTCTCCTTCTTCTTCTCCTTCTCTCTTCTTCTCATCCTTCTCCTTCTTCTCATCCTTCTCCTTCTTCTCATCCTTCTCCTTCTTTCTCATCCTTCTCCTTCTCATCCTTCTTCTCATCCTTCTCTTCTTCTCATCCTTCTTCTCTTCCTTCTCCTTCTTCTCATCCTTCTCCTTCTTCTCATCCTTCTCCTTCTCCTTCTTCTCATCCTTCTCCTTCTTCTCATCCTTCTCCTTCTCCTTTCTTCTCATCCTTCTCCTTCTTCTCATCCTTCTTCTCATCCTTCTCCTTCTTCTCATCCTTCTCCTTCTCCTTCTTCTCATCCTTCTCCTTCTTCTCATCCTTCTCCTTCTCCTTCTTCTCATCCTTCTCCTTCTTCTCCTTCTTCTCATCCTTCTCCTTCTTCTCATCCTTCTCCTTCTCCTTCTTCTCATCCTTCTCCTTCTCCTTCTTCTCATCCTTCTCCTTCTTTCTCATCCTTCTCCTTCTCCTTCTTCTTCATCCTTCTCCTTCTTCTCATCCTTCTCCTTCTTCTCATCCTTCTCCTTCTCCTTCTTCTCATCCTTCTCCTTCTTCTCATCCTTCTTCTTATCCTTCTCCTTCTTCTCATCCTTCTTCTCATCCTTCTCCTTCTTCTCATCCTTCTCCTTCTTCTCATCATTCTCCTTCTCCTTCTTCTCATCCTTCTCCTTCTTCTCATCCTTCTCCTTCTTCTCATCCTTCTCCTTCTCCTTCTTCTCATCCTTCTCCTTCTTCTCATCCTTCTTCTCATCCTTCTCCTTCTTCTCATCCTTCTTCTCATCCTTCTCCTTCTTCTCATCCTTCTCCTTCTTCTCATCCTTCTCCTTCTCCTTCTTCTCATCCTTCTCCTTCTTCTCATCCTTCTCCTTCTCCTTCTTCTCATCCTTCTCCTTCTCCTTCTTCTCATCCTTCTCCTTCTCCTTCCTCATCTCCAAGGGCATTTAAATTAAAGGTACAGTGTTCTGCACTAATTTAAAGGCTCTCTGAAGCCTAGAAACCCTTTTAATAAGTTAACTTCGTAGCGAAGAAATTCGCATCGAATCGAATTTCATACTGGAATTCGCCGAATCAGCCGAATCGAATTTTTGAGAAATTCGCTCATCTCTAGCTAAAACCAATGGACACTGTTCTGTACTCCTACTCCCCGGACCTCTCTGCTGCCTTTGACACAGTGTACCACTCTTTGCTGGTTCTCATCTTACCTTTCCCACCACACCTTCAGTGTCACTTACAATTCTGCTTCCTCTCCTCCTTCCTCTTCCTTTCTTTGTTGGGGTTTCCAAGGTTCTCTTCTTGGACCCCTCCTATTCTCAATCTACATCTCCTCCGCATAAAATGTTGGAGCTATATAAATCCTAAATAATAATAATATTAATTATCTGAGAATACACTTCTTGAAAATGTGGGATGGTCTATTGGTGGGCTGAATTAAGAAAAATTATCAAACCAGGTACCCTGCAGGAATCCTCATTAGCCCATTATCCTGTAGTAAAAGGGAACATTAGGGAATGAACACTTGAAAGAATCTGACTTTCTACTGTTAGGTTGCTATAAACGTTCAGCCCTACCTCTTAGAGATAGGTGTATTTGCTGTTATTCACTTTTATTTTCTGTCTTTCAGAAAAAGTTAATTTAGAATCAGGAGCAGACTGGAAACTCATGGGGCCCCTGGGCAATAGGGGATCATGGGGCCCCTGTGTCCTTGCCCACACTCAAAAAAGACTGTAAAAAGGTACCATGGGAATTTCATGGGGCACCCTACTGACCCTGGGCCCTCGGGCAGTGCCCGAGTGCTCGAATGGTCAGTCCGCCCTTGCTTAGAATCAGGTTGTAAAGCCCTCCTAGAGGCTGTCACAGGGCTGGCATCAAATTGTAAAGGTATTGTGTTACACAGCTGACTGTGGACCCTGAGATGACGAGGGTGGCCTCTTGTGCAATTCCTGTCCAAGCACTCCTGGTAGTGGAGTCAGGGACTGCTAGAGCAGTGGTAGGGCACAGGTGCCAGGTAGCTGAGGTAGTGAACTTGAGCTTGGAAACACAGGAGTCCTTCCAGTGGCAGTATTAAGTCTGGTCACAAACTATGCTCAGTAGCAGCCAGGCAAAGAGGTGCAGGGTCAGGATCAAGTTCAAGGTCAGGAACAGAAAGGAGTCGGTAACGGCTGGGTGCGAGGTACCAAGTCAGGAGTTGGAATCGAGGTCAGAAGTCCAAGCCAAGGTTGGTAACACAAGCGAGCATAGCCAGGTCAGGGACAATGTAAGCAGACTTTCAGGAGCTAGGAATGAAAGATCCAGAGCAGGGGCGGGCTGACCATTTGGAAACTCGGGCACTGCCCGAGGGCCCGGGGTCAGTAGGGGGCCCCATGAGATGCCCCTGGTACCTTTTTCATAGGCTTTTTTAAGTTTCGGCAAGGACATGGGCCCCATGATCCCCTATTGCCCAGGGGCCCCATGAGTTGTCAGTCCACCCCTGATCCAGAGCTGAAGACATTGCAGCACTGAGGCCAGGTAGACCGCTGAGTGCCAAGGCCATTGTGCACTTACTGCACAGGAATGAGCACTTATTGTACGAGATCCCTGACACATTGCTTCCGTTGGAGGCCATAAACCTTTAAGGGTGGTGTTGGCCATCCAGATTTTACATCATAATTACTGAGAAATAAAATCACCAGTTTGCAGTAAATAGAGAGTTTGGAGTTAAATGGTTGCAGATGCTGATTGGTGACATGTTGCCTTTAAGTAGAGATAAAAACTATTTTGCTGTATTTATTTCTAATTTAGCCATGGTTGGCACTTGTAAAATTTCATGTAGACTTTATTTGATAAATTACCACAGTATTGTATTTTGCTTACCACACTCTATATTAAATGTCATATTTATTTTCTGAAAAGTACAGCTTAAAGAATCTGCTTACCTTGGCATAAAGAAAGACATTTTTACATACATGTACCCAATAAAAAAAAAAGACTGACGACACACGTAGGCAGCACAGGTAGTTATATTTTCAAGAGTTACAAAAATAATATACTGTGTTGTTTCTTTGTTTAAGCATACCTAGATATTTTTTGATAGTACAAATTAATTGTTATGGAGAAACCCACCAAAATGTCACAGTAACATTATATAGTAAACAAAATGGCAAATAGAATTGAACACCTAATTGGATTTTCAAACTTCATTGAATATTAATATTTTGGCAGAAGAAAAAAATGATTTATACTGATTAGTGGGGATGGCTAAAATTAAAAGTGTTGATTTTCCCAAAAATTTGGGGAAACCTGGAGATTTTGGTGAAATTTCTCCATGAATTGTACAGGGAAGACGACATTAAGGGTTTTTTTGGTGGTTTTTAAGGAGTCAATGACCTTTAATGATCAGACAGTGAAAAAAGTGGAATAAAAAATGTGACAGCTCACAAATTATGATCAAATACACAAGAAAGCAAAAAGACAAAAACAAAAAAAAAACTAAATGGAATAAATGGCCGACAACATTAAGGGTTTTTTTTTTGTGGTTTTTAAGGAGTCATGACCTGGAGATTTTGGTGAAATTTCTCCATGAATTGTACAGGGAAGACAACATTAAGCGTTTTTTTGGTGGTTTTTAAGGAGTCATGACCTTTAATGATCAGACAGTGAAAAAAGTGGAATAAAAAATGTGAATTCTGATCAAATACACAAGAAAGCAAAAAGACAAAAACTAAAACAAAAAAACTAAATTGAATAAATGGCCCAGGGACAGGGCCTATTTGTTCCAGCACCATTTTAAAACAACACTTAAACTAACTGGGGTTGATTTACTAAAACTGGAGAGTGCAAAATTTGTGGCAGCTCTACATGGAAACCAATCAGCTTCCAGGTTTTTTTTTTTTGTCAAAGCTTAATTGAACAAGCTGAATTTAGAAACTGATTGGCTACCATGCACAGCTGCACCAGATTTTGCACTCTCTGGCTTTAGTAAATCAAAATCCATTGGCTTCAGTGGGTCTCTGCCAACACTAGCACTGGACCATTGGGTGTCAATAAAGTGAAACTTCACCCTCAATCAGCAATGACTATTTGGAATTCTTATGTTGCTAACATTACTAAATGATAGAAAAGTATATAATTTTTACTTGTTTTATATTTTTTTTCCAATTCTTCAGTTACTTCCTGGTTTCCATGCCTAGGCAAATAATGTCATACATCCCAGGAGTCTCCAGGAGGGGAGCAGGGGCTTTCGCAGCTAAGCACACCCTCCTGACATCATCCCTGAAGGAAGGGCAGATGGATTCCAGGAAGTAAATGCTACATGCATCATGTGCCCTTACTCAAGATGGCTATGGCCAGGAATGCTAGGGGGGGGGAGGTTTCAAAGCGATTTCTTAGCAAAATAAAGCATGGAGACATGGATGGATTGGGAAATTTGCTTTGAATATAACAAATGAATTAAATAGCATTTTTGGTTTGTGGTGCTAAGATGCAGTGTAGGTCCGCTGGAACCCTGCCCTTATCCCAGGAGCTGAAACAATCACCTCCAGGGCTTCTTATCCTTCTACAGATTGCTATGTAGGTGTATGCTGTAGAAGCTAATGTACACACAATACTTCTTTTTTTTTGCTTGCATTGGGTGACATCATGACACTTTCTGTTATTACAGGGACTATTGCTAAGCTACTGCATCTCTATCCAGCCTCTTCCTGAAGATAGCGAATGATAGATCACTATTAGAAGTGATCTGTTGCTGCAGAGCTGCATGGGAGATCCGGATACATTTCCTACTGGCCAGATCCAAATTCCCCATGAAGAAAAAAAGTATGAAAATAAAAACATAAATAAATAATAAAAATAATAATACTAAAGAAATATATATATATATATATATATATACATACATACACACTCACTTATTAGGTTCACCTTGCTAGTGTCAAGAACATACCCCCTGCACCATTACACCACCACCACCAGCCTGAACCATAGATACAAGGATGGATCCATGCTTTCACCTTGTTTAGACCAAATTCTGACCCTACCATCTGAATATCACAACAACCAGTCTGCCCATTCTCCCCTGACCTCTGACATCAACAAGACATTTTCATCCACACAACTGCCAATCACTGGATATTTTCCCTTTTTCGGACCATTCTCTGCAAACCCTAGAGATGGTTGTGCATGAAAGTCCCTTAGATCAAAATCCCAGTAGATCAGCAGTTTTTGAAATACTTTGACCAGCTTCTCTGGCACCAACAACCATGCCACATTCAAAGTCACTAAAATCTCCTTTCTTCCCCATTCTGATGCTCTGGTGTTTGAACGTCAGCAAGTCGTCTTCATCACGTCTACATGTATAAATGCATTGAGTTGCTGCCATGTAGCAGGCTGATTAGCAATTTATTTATTACCATGCAATTGAGCTGGTGAGTGTGTATACAATATATATATATAAAAATGAGTGGGTCACTTTTTGAGGAGTGCGTGCCTCTTTAATAGCTTATTTATACTGCTAACAAAGAGGCGCATACACCTCAGAACAGGTTCCTGACTGTGCATGCTCTTCAGACGTAGGTGGATCCTATCATTGGGGCTGTAGAAGGATGAGTCCCGGACTTCAAACCACATTACCTGGTCCCTTCTCCATCGTGTGGCCTATGTCAGATGCTGGTTGTCCCCCTTCCCAGGTGGTCGAGTTATATCCTCCTATTTGTTACCTCTGCACCTGTCCAGGGGCGGAATGACCATTTGGAAACTCAGCAACTGCCCGAGGGCCCGGGGTCAGTAGGGGGCCCCATGAGATACCCCTGGTACCTTCTTCATAGGCTTTGTTGAGTTTGGGCAAGGACACAGGGGCCCCATGATCCCCTATTGCCCAGGGGCCCCATGAGTTGTCAGTCCGCCCCTGCACCTGTCATATTCTTGTGAATGCAATGTTATCTTTCCAATAAATTAACTTTTTTAATTTACTACACTATGGTGGCTTTTGCGCCTGTTTGTTTTCTCTTTTTGTGTGCACTACAGACATAGCATCCCCTCCTGAACCCACGGGCTGCAGAATCCACCTAGCTCTCAGTTCATTGTCTAGTCCTAGCTACCCATTTAGTTTTCAAATATTGGGTTGCCTATACTTTATAATACATCATATCTTTTACATCATCATTTTTCATTACTGGGTTTTTGGTTACTATTACACAGTAAACACTGCACCATCTGGACATATTCATTTCCCATCAACCTTGCCCATTCACTCAGGTCCTGTTTAGTTGAGTGCTGTGTCCTCAGTGGATTTCCTCCGAGGAAGCTTGCTTTCTTTACATATATTCTTAAGAAAGTATATGACTCAGTAGTTATGACAAGGTGTCTGTTCTTTAAAGATATATCACTAGCTAAATACATTAGACGTCTTGTCACCGGGTTATTTTTTCTGTTTGAGTCTGGTGCAGCTTGTTTGCCTTTGTTTTGAAGCACATCACACATCTCATCAATTTCGGTATGCCTTCACGCATCATGTGGTAAATAATGGAGGATTCATCTGTATGTAGGGTTTCCATAGAAACATAGAAGTCTGCATTGAGCTTCATGGTCTAGAAAATAGCTTGCTGTCCCACACGGGCCCACCACAGTGAGAGAGAATATTCAGATTTTAAAAAAGCAGTGAAACATATAGATATTATCTACATAAAGATATTTTTGTTCAAATACATTATCCGTAGTTATATTTATTAGCTTTTAAAA